GGCTTTTTTTTTTTTTTCTTTTTTTTTTTGAAGTCAAATTTTGGGGAACCCAGATACAAACAACAATTAAAACAGCGTACGCAAAAAAAAAAAAAGCGTCGTTATTATTGCGCATGCGTCGAACACAAACCGCGTTTTGGATTTGCGAATAGAAACAACGTTATATCTTTGTGTATGCTATTCTAAATCTCGCTACTGTTAAGTGTCTGTGGTAGTTTCTTATGCGGGAAGTCCGTACATTTGTATTAAAATAAATTTTATTTAAGTGGATGGCACTGGTTATCTAAATATAATCAATAAATCACTTAAATGACTGTCGAAATGGGAGCGAGCATGGTATACAATTTCTTAAACTTTATAAGTAAACCAACCAACCGAATGTTTACACCGCAAAAAAAAAAAAAGGATTGAGTACCCCATACACATGTACCTGTGATATTATGAACAAACAAATCGCCTGATGTTGAAGTACCATTACTTCTAGCCTCAGATGAAATACAAGTTAAACGGTCGTTGTCTATCTCCTCTGCGAGTTTCCTCACATAATCAAAATAAACTGTTTTCGATATATTATGAATACAAAGAACGATACTTTCAGGACATACAGATAGTCTCCTTGCGCTGACTATTCTTGACGTCTTCCAATCCTAAATGCGCGATATAAATATACGCGCTTCTTACTGAGAATGTTCCGCCACTATTAGTAAACAAACCTCAGTTGTCATGAGGACCTTTGAACCCTCGTGATGTTTTAGTCGCCGAGTAGATGCATCGAACTAGTTTCCGAAGTAAGGCAATGAAGCGTGGTGAAACGCGACGAAAAACACCAATACAGCGCATCCGCTGTATTCGTGTATTCGGGGAGAGCGGAGCAGCAAGTTGAAGCAACCTAATGGCTGCCGCGTCACGTGATTCCAAGATGGCAGCGCCCATGCGTTGGAGGATGAAAAGGTCTATTTGCCGACCATCCTTGCCTTTGATCGCCCCATACCACGCGCGTCCTCATCTCGCCACATATGGCTGAGCGATTAATGCCGAGTCGGCAACCCGCAGTGCCACTCTTTTGAGCAAGCGCAGTGTGATTCGTACGCGCGTTCCTGTTTTGAATTTGCGTTCGTCAAGCAACATTCGTTGTTGAGGGAGACCCTTTGTTCTCCATGCTTGAGGCGAACCCTTCACCTGTGTGTATTTGGGTTCCTTTGCGCGCCACCAACAACTTGTCCTGAAGGGAAAATGTAAATAGAAGTTTTGATGATGTTTTTGAGTACCGGGTGGACTTTTATGTCCAGCGGGTAGCGAGGCTTGGCAGAAAAAAGTAGCGAAGGATCAGCAGTGCAATCTGGGAATGTAAATATCCGCGTTTTCTTTGACTCGGAGTAGTCGCGGACACTCATTTAGAGTCGGACGGTACGCCTGCCAGTAACGTCGATAAGTAGCTGGTACTGCTACTGACGGGCTCCGGGAGCCAGGCCGCGTAACCGTCGGCGTCGAGAAGCAGTTTGCAGACTGTTGACGCGCGCGCTGTGTTCACTGCTGGTATTGCAGTGGGCGCGGAGGGTTTTCTTCGGGAAAGATTTGCTTCTGCATTATGCCAACGTACTCCTGCAGCCTGTTGTTATTTTCCAAGAACGACACTAGTTTTGCGTTCATTGTAGTGGCGCTACGCGGTCTGAGGCGCACTGTGACAGTATCTGGGTGGACGAGTGACTCTAAGACTTTCGGACGTTATGTTGCTCTGAAACCCAGGCGCCACGTAGCCAGAGCGCCCTTTGGCGATATCTGTCAGACTTGCGTGATCCAGGTAGAAAAGCAACTCTAAGACACTTAGCAGTTACGTTGCTCTGAAACCTGGCCTTGCCTCAAAAGAAGGGTCCACATTGTTGTGAGCCCTTGATCAAGCCATATCGAGTGCAAGACATGTTTTTCTAGGCTCGGTAAGCTAGCTAGCTCACATATTTGGCGAAGCTAGCAAGTTTGAGCGTGTGAGCTGCGGCCCCTTTTGTCTTCCTCCATGGGGAGCAAGATGGCGGCTATTTTGCGCGGGAACTTGCGTCTTCCCCGCTCGCAGACGCACATGCATGGCGGTTTCTTTCGATCCGCTCCTTCGAAGTCCCCGTATCCCTTTACCTCGACTTCAGATGACGGGCCAGCTGCAGACTGTTATCTGTTTTTGGCCACTTATAGTCAACGGACTCTTCCGGTAACTATAAAACCGGGTATTGTAGGCAGCCTCTGCGATAGCTGCCTGCGCAAAAGATTGAGAACTCGGCATTTTTCCTAGAAGCTCTCTCCCCGGTGTCTACATTAAGTGAACTCCATTAGTTTGCTTGGTTTGTGGACGCGTTTCGAACGGAGGGGCCCCCTTTTATGGCTTCTTCTTCCGGTCTCAAAGCGGGTAACTCTGGCATATGTCCTCTGGCCGCTCGCCAGGTCCGTTTCCCTACTGAGCGCCTTCCTGTCACCGTTGACAAACTGGCCACCTTTTTTGAGGGTTTTGTTTGTCGTTTGCTCCTGCCCGTTTCTGCCGCCTTTGCGGCCCGAAGCAGGCGAGCGTCGGTTGCGCGCGCCCCCTCGTTTGGACGTTGCGGCGCCCTTTCTTCCCTTTAGGGAGGTCTGCAGCTGGCTCTGGGCGTGTTGGCTGCTGGCGCATTTCGACTTCGCAGGTCTGCTCCGAGGTCATCCACCCCCCCTTCACCAGCCCACTGCGGCCGAGATGGCACCGAAACCTCCGGGCGGCGTGTCTGGGACTTCCCCAGCTGGTCTCCGCTGGTGGGCAGCGGTCGTTGGTATTTTTGGTGTAGGAAATTGGAAACAGCGCGCAAAAAGACAATGACCATGAGAGAAGAGCACAGGACAAGCGACTTCACGACTGCCTGACTGCACCCGCTGCTGGCCAGCTCGTACCGCGACACCTGCGTCCAGCTGCATCGGCACGGTGTTTGTGATGCTCTGCGGGGCTGTGGCGGCGACTGTCAAGTGCTTGGGGACTTGAACTTTCCGGGTCTTCAGTCCTGCGGGCCAGCTGTTGACGGCAGACACTGTGAAGACGCGCGCTGGGTGCCGCGTGTATTTGTTGGGGGTTCGATATTATTTTATGAGAGCAGGTGGGCCTCCTTTATTCTTTATTGAGACCCACCTACCATTTTAAGGAGGGGGCGATGTGGGGATTCCTCTGGTCTCCCTTCCGCGATGGCTGTGATAACGGCCGCGGGTCGGAACGCTCGGTCACCTTCACCGTGAGCTCTGACCTGTTCTTGAGGCGGAGGGCCGCCTGGCTTGGGGAACTATCCTCTCACTCTCTCTCGGGGGGACCGATTTCCGTTCCCCCGCTCGGATGCGGATCACTGCTGACAGGCGAGGAGGCTTTCGCCTCGACTTTTCCCGCTTTCGGGAGGGAACTCGTTCGGGTGACCGCGAAAGAGATAGGACGTGTGTCGGCGACTTCTCCGACGCTTCCCCAATCTTGGCTTTCCGGAACCCCGCGTCTGGCCAGGTAAGGACCTTTTCTTACCTTGTCGGCGCGGGGGGCATTTTGGATGGGGACATTGTAGTTAATTTAGAAGAGTATGTTAATAAATGCTCTTGGACTCTGTCCATACTCTGGTACGTGTGTCTTCTCTTCCGCCATATTCGAGAGAGTGAGACAAGATAGAAGATCATTGGCACCGACGGAGGTAATTAATCGAACCGACCCGCAGTAATGTAGCCCTAAACGTCGTCTATATTACCGCGGAGATGTGGGGACCGCGGGCTACTAGGTTTGATGTCTCCTTTGAGATCGCCGCCGCTGTTGAGATAGCCTTTTGGTTACTCCATCGGTACCTGTGTTAGTTGGTAGCTAGCAAGATCCCACAAGTTACTCCGCAAAACTTCGTGTGAATAATGTGACATGCGGCGATTAAATCCGCGTGGACGCCGCAGAATGTACGCTAAAGCCTGATTCGCATGATGAGATTTCGCTCGCAATTTTCAGTTGCAACGTCACTCGGGTTGCAAAAGCACAAACCGTAGCTAAGATGGTCGACGTCGATATTGAAAATCGCAAGCAGAATCGAACCAAGTGAATCAGGCATAACAAGTCAGTGATGGCCACTGGTCACAATGATCAACATCTCCTCGTATCTATTGTTTACATTGAGCCTGCTGACCAACCTTCAAACTTAAATCTTTTGAGGCCTGCACTTACTTCTTATCGCAAATACCAGGCCAACATTTGGTCTACAGGCCGGTGTCGTCTAAAAGAGCAGACAACAAGCAGAAACGTCTGAAGGAGCAGACGAAAGTTTGAACGATCAGGCGGCCGTTTGAACTTGAAGATGCACTGAACATAGTCCGCAGGTGGTTCGTACAACTTGACAGTTTTCCGGCGTCCATGTTAAAACAAATAATGGCCACATGTATCCGTGAACTCAGCTCAAGCAATCGTGGTCAACGGCGTCTGGTTTTCCCTTTTGACGGCACATATCCACGTTCTCGGACGAACCTAACACATGAAAACTGGTCTTTAAACCTTCCTCGACTCTTTGGGCACAGCCCCAGTCGCGGCGTTTTGACGAGAAGGCAGGTTTTTGTCTGGTTCCTTTCAAAACAACGCAGGAATACAGGTCTCACATGGGGACTTCCGCCCACAGCCCCAGACCGGAAGTGCGCCCGACGAGCCACCACCGCGCCGTGACGTAACAGAGTTGATGGTCTGTCGGCGTCTGTCGCTCGTTGTCGTGTGTCGCTGTAGTGGGACGCGGCTATTAGAGCGCTCCACTGGAAATGGAGAGGTCCCTGGTTCGATGGCAGGACCACGCGGACTGTTTCGGTCGCGCACCAGTTACCTGGCTGTGTTTAGAGATTTGTGTTTGTCCTTTCCCCCCTTGTTCCCCTTCTCCAGAAATAATTATCGTCATTATCGTCGTCAGCAAAGGGATTGGGAATGTGTGATCGTCGCAACGCGGTGAACATGGATCTCCCGTGTCGCCGAAGGCGTCGTAAGGTTGAGAGGCACGTACCTTGCAGTCATTTCGCACGAACTGAATTCCGTGACCCGGATAGATGTTTGACGAACAAAAGTAGCACTTTTCGATACGCATTTTCACTGCTACGCGTCTTCCGCAGGCGGCAAGCTTGCACGCGTGCTTTCCTGACAGAGAGAATGTAGAGGGAGAGACCTGTAGAGACCGGAAGCGGAAAGTGAAAGGGGCAACTCAAGCAAAAGCCAGGGGCGCGGAGAAAAGTGCGAATCTGACGTTTTGTGAATATATCAGTTCTTAATTTAGTTTTAATATTTCTTACCTCTACGCTTTTGACGTTTAATTGGTTTAATCAGTGCTTGCAATTCATGTAGCAAAAGAAGCTGGAAGGAAGCTAGCGCCACCTAGATTGTGTGGCTAACAAGATACGTTTTAACGAATGGGAACATGTAAACAATAACTTTCACAAAAATACACGAAAACATGTACTGTTACACACACTGAAATCGCGATGTTGAGATTGGTTCTGAATTCACTTTCCTTTCTTTCATCTGTGGCGTTCGGCCGTTTGCACGAGCCAAGAGCAGGCACTGCCCTTTCTCTCTTCGGATTTTTAAAATCAGTCAGTTTTCTATGGAACTCTGACTCGGCTGCTTGCTGCCTACACAGCCTTCACAGCCACCACAACTAGGTCCTCCATCCAGCTTCTCCAGCGAAGCCGTCCACTCTTTCCACTTGAGCTGAACTCTAAGCTGAACGAACGCTGTAGAGGAGGCGAGTCCATCCTCGCCTCCTCTCCAGCATTTGCTCTGCTAAGGTGAAAAGAGTGAAGGTTTTTGCTGGAGGAGCCTGGTCCCGGTTTTTTTAACCTACAACAGACTGTAGCGAACCAAACTTAGGGTTTTTCATTTTTAATTATCAATACCAAAACATTTTCCTGGTTTTTGGGTCACACACACATATTGCTTGGAAGTTGGGGAATCCCATGTGCATGTCCTGTTTTCATAATCAGAGGCCACAATGCAGACTTTTTTTGGTACACAAAAAAGCTACATATAAAAAAAAAAAATTTGTTGGAAAAATTAATAAACCACAAAAAAAAACAAAAAAACAACCTCAAATAAAACAAACCCCCAAGACATGCACCCCTTTTCCAGAACAGGTTATTTATTTTTATTTTAAAGGAAGTAAGTTCATTCCTTGATTCTTTCACTGTAAACTTACACCACCTGCTCACACCTCTGTAGTAACTTGGAGCACGATATGTTGAGAAACCAATTTTCGTAGGTCTTCTAAAGTGCCCTAAAAGTGTTACATCATAGAAAAAATCGTAAGGGTGCAGGCAAGCTGGTGAATATTAACCATGTTGAATTAACCTGAGACTGGGGTAGAGAAGAAACATCAAAACGTAGAAGAAACAAAAAATAGACAGGGCGACGTCTCAATTTGTTGTACATTGAATTCTTTGTGGTTTTGGGAACCTATAAAACAAGAGACTGGTGACAATACAGTCAGTGCACAGGCGAGCTGGTGGAAGTTCGCCATGGTCACGGTGTAAGATACACTCTTTAGGTGTGGACACGGCGGGGCTGAACGCCCGGCGCGAGGAATCAGATAGTGTTCGTTCGAAGGGCATCCGAAAGGCTGCATCATTCCGCTGCCACCGTGCCCGCGGCTGACAGTGTCGCTGGCGGCAAAACAACAAAACTGTGCGAGAGCGAAAAAAATTATCATGTTGCCATGACACCCCGGTACACCATGGTCTTTCTGCACGTGCGACCTCGCTGGAGCTCTGCGCGTGTGGTAAATGAGGCGGCACGAGCCTTCTGGAACGTGCCCACGGGTCGACGAGTCACCTGCCGGCGCTGCTTGAAACTATAGTGAGAGAGAGTGAAGAGCGAACTTTATCGGGCACGTCGCGAGGAGCGCGCTGTCCTCCCCTAAAGAGTATTATCTTACACCGTGACCATGGTAGACAGAACCCCATCAAACTTTGAGCTAGATGCCCTATAATATTAGTAAAGTTGACGAAACAAAGGATAAATGTGATACGCTGTGCACCGAATCCTGAATCTTGAGGTGATAAAGCGGAGGAACGAAGAAATATCTTTCAACACATAAAAAAAGGTTGCCAAAGCAATTGAATTACTTTCTAAAAGGTAACACACTAATAACGAATTGATATTTGTGCATTAGTAACAATTGTAATTATTAGCTTCTGGAGAAAACCAGTTTTGCTAGGATCCCGAAAAAATCAAAGGAAGCCAAGGCCCGGCGGAAAGCAACGAGTACTTGCTCGAGGCAGAGCACCTACTCTTTTCTTAACCTGCCGCGCCTGCCGCCGACAGATATAGTTGTAATTTTAATTAAATTACACTTTAAAGTCTTTCCGAGCTGAAGGAGAACTGCAGTTCAAACACAAGTAAGCTACAAAGGCCAAGGAACAGACCTTTCTTCAAAAGTGCACTATCTAGTAGCTGCTGTATCAATTATCCGAGTCCACTGTACTCTCGGAATGTACATGTACTTGACACGAGGGTGACGTCTGCGTTCGGCGTGAACTTGGCTCAGCTCATATCAAAATCGAGTGTGCGTGAGCGTTCGGCGAGGACTCGGATCCAATCATATCATGCCTACGATGAATGGATGGATGAATGTTACTGGCTATACCCTTTGTAGAGGGAAGTAGCTTGTGCCACCTAGCCCAAGCCTAAAAGATGGTGAACCACAATGTTTTGCAAAGGGCATATTAGTTTTATGTGGAACAAGCCAAGGCATCTCGAAAGACCGTGGATGTATTACTGCGCCTACTGCTTCCTTTTGAGTTTGTTCCGCTTCTCCTTGAGTCTACCACGGGAGAAGACCTGTTTGACATTCGCCTCGACGAAATGAGACAACGTCTGTCCGTCGCCCCTGCCAGGAGTCCTTTTCGCCGCCTTCCTCTCCACCCCAACTTCGCCTTTCTCGAACACCGCGGGCCCGTCGTCTCGCGCACCGTAGTCTGGGAACCCCAAGGCATTCTCATCCACAAGTTCGATGTGCGACGAAAACAACTGCGGAATCTGCGGATCCGCCACAACGTAGAGTTCGGCGAAGTCTGGCATCGGAGGCTTGGGTACCTTGCTGTACGTCCGTTCCTTAACGGGAGCAACGCGATCATCCGGAGTCGGGTTCGGCTGAACAGCCGCCTCTGGGACGGAAGGACTGTTCTGGGAGACCAGTTGCACGAAAGCGCTCAGTTGGGCCGACGGTTTCGGAGTGGATCGCACTCCGACGGCCAGTAGGGAGGACACCCCTGGATGCCCGACGAAGTCCACGAGGCCTCGCACGCACAGCACGGGAACGGATCGGACCCTAGCAAGTCTGAGAACGCCGTGGAGCAGTCGGGGAGGGTCGGCTGACACGTTGAGCAAGATCGCCGACAGCCGGCTCTTTTCCAGGGCGCGCGTGACGGCGTTGAGGCCGAGGACCACGTGCTTCCTCCATTCGTTCGACGGGCCCCTGGCGGCCTCGAAGAATCGGAGCAGTTTCGCGCGGCAGTCTTCGTTCACCGTCGGCCACTTCTGGGCCGGGAAGGGGGACGCTAGGAGCGATTTCTTGATGATACGCGGCTGGCGCGGTTTCGGACTCGATTTTGCAACGGCCGCCATGATGGCGTCAATGGCGTCATGAATTGGATTGGATTGGATGTGTAGCCAAATTTGGTGTAGCTAGTGGCGTAGCCAACAATATAAACAGTTGGCAGCGACCTTTTTGAAGTAAAGAACCAAAAACCGCTTTTGCTTGCACGTTCTAGTTTTATTTTAAAAATTGACAAAGATTGAAGTTTTCGGCATCATCTGTCAGTCGCCACTGATTTCCATGACAATTGCTGGATCGTGCATCCCCGCTCTGTCCCCGCTTTGCGAGTGCGGCCATCGGACGGTTATCTTGCATCCCGTGAAATTGTGTTTCTGGAGCGTTGCAGAGTCTGGCGGCAGCGTGTTGAAGACACGTTTTCTACTTGTTTGTCATCGTTTGCCAAAAAAATTGTTTCTTAACTGTGTGTAAGCCGTGAGACTTGTCGTTGTGCACACGTGAAAATTTTTACGGAAGCGCAGTGTCGTAGGACATCCGGACCCTGCCCCCCCTCCCCCATCTGAATCTGCCACTGACAGCAGTCTAGTATTCCGCCATTGGTTTAGTAAACTGATAAGGTTTGTTCTTTTTGCATTATTTTGTAAATGCATGTATTATGTCATCAGCGTCCCAAAGGGATGATCACATACCTTGTACAAAGTTTTATGTCTTGGTACACAGTCGTTCCCGTTGTTAAAAAAAAAAAAAAACACTACTGAAAAAAAAAAAAAAACAAGTTATTTGGCAGTTTTTGCTTTCCTACTCGTCTTTTAATAAGACGAGATTCCCGAGCTCGTACCTTTATCTTCGGCAGTTCCTCCTGCTGATCGTGAGTTCGCGCAGCCGAAATGCATCCTTCAACGAAGAGCTCGCGCTTACAAAAGGCTTGGAAGCATAAGATAAAGCGAAAGAAAGGACACATGAACACAGATGACTACTAAAAACTATGTGAATACGTTGAAAGAGCGGAGCGACTTTTCGAGCGAAAATGAATCGGCGAGATGGGATAATCGGGACGCGTAGCCGGTTGCCTGCGGGCTGCGTGTTTGAGACCCCTGCCCCCCTGCCCTGCAGTGAGATCGGGATTCGTTGGTGTGACGCAACGGACACAGTACCACCAGATTGGTGGTACTGTGCGTTGCGTCACTCCAACGAGGTAGCGTCATACTGTCACACACACAGATCATAAGATCATAATTTAAGTCAAAATAGTGCTAGGTGGCGCAAGCCACCGGCCAAATAAGTGGATTCAATTTGCATCTCCAGCATCCATGCGGTGTTGAGCTCAAGTTACTCCATCAGTAGTTTTGAAACCACCGTCTGTGTTGGTCCGTGTTGATGTGTGCTTCCGCATTTTTCGTCTATTCTGCTCGGTTTTGAAGTTTTGTCCCATTCGCGACGACCAGCTCTCGCTGCTTAGTATGGCCCACGTAGAAAACAGCCAGTTGAGCACGGGTGGCGGCAAGCCCGACCCCGAAGGAACGGAGAAAGACGAACAGGTGAGCGGCGAAACTTTGGCCGTGTTTAGGCTTCATACCAAAGCCCGCAAATCTCCCAAAAACTCGTTGCCAAAGTCGTATGGCGCCATGAAATACACGAGCGACTCCAGGCAATGCTCGCTCGAGCGAGCCTCGGTGGTTTTAACCGATTACAACATCACATTTCATGCGAATTTTACGTAACAGACGGGCGCGAAAGGTGCGCTGTCGCCGCTTGCCGTTGGAGCTATGTAACGGTCATTTTCAAGCAAATGGTTGCGCCACGGAACTTTGCTGGGTCTGAACTTGCGCCGTCGCTTCTTGGTGCAAGTAAAAATAGAGTCGGCGCGCCCGTTCTTTTTTTTTGCGGTGCATGGTGTTTTTACTAACGATGAAAACGCCGCAAATTGTTGTTGCACACACCACGGCTGCTCGATTACTGCAGCTTCGTTACGGCCCAGTAGATGCATAGAAGCAGTGGTCCAGTCGAGTTTCCCGAGTTTGTCGCTAAAAGCGACACTTCCAACCCCTCCCCCTCGTTTTTTGGGTTTTACACTAGGTAAACAATTGAATCTCTGCTAGTTCAGTTAGATGAGACGAAGTATTTCAGCGGTGGTCGTTTTACTACCGGCGCAATACTGATCGAAATGTTACTATTTCACGTGATACGAGGCATATGTAGCTGCCAGATGGGACCATCTGAGACCTCTTCAGATCCTACAGGGGTCCTGCATTGTGTGCTGCCAGGGCCACACCTTTTGATGTGGTACCTTTGCGGTAGAGCCTTTTTGAAGTTCAGCCCTCCTCTGGCAGAGTTAGAGATTTTGCACGGCGGTACGTGCGACAGACCGTCGAGGTGACACGCCCATCACTTGTGAAAACATTCACCTCCAATCCAAGCAGCTGCATGTTCTGGAAGTGCCTATTGGCAGTGTTGGCCCTTCCACCATGTTGCAGTGTTTTCAGAGCTTCGAAGAGAAGCAGTGATTCAGGACAGGGGTTTACTACTCTACAATGTATGCAATACGACACTTCACCGTCGTGCTGCTATCCTCGTGTTGAAGACCTTTCCGTGGAATTAAAAGCCATCGTCTCCTCGTCTCCCTCACTTTCTCGGCACATCACTTTTTTCAGATCAGATATTTAGGAATGATATGTGGGCATTGCGAGAAGATTTATATGAATTGCTCTATAGGTGTATTTCTTATGAAATTGTCTTATTTAGTTATTTTTAATAGGTTCCATCTGTTTGATGACAAAGTCAATAAAGTAAATTAAAACTAAATTAGCTAGAGCAATGTATAGAAGCTTGGCAGTAACTATAGTCCGTTGCAACCTAAGAACGAAGGGCGAGGGTAAGACGGGCCGGGGAGGAGGAAGCAGACGGAACGCTGGAGATGAGATAAGAAAACCTCCTTCTCTCTTTAGCGTTCCGTCTGCTTCCTCCTCCCCGGCCCGTCTTACCCTTGCCCTTCGTTCTTAGGTTGCAACGGACTATAAACACATTCAGCTGGATTGTTTTTAACAAGGCATATTTGTCAATCACCTGCCAATTTTCGTTATCGTGAAGTTCTATATGAAGAAAAATTTAATTAAAGTTTATATCACACTTTTATTATTTGAGGGAATTGCAGTTTTATTACAGCTTTTAGAGCTTGAACGAAACATAAATTTGGGTGCTCAAAATGACTCTATTTTAACATTATTTTATGGAATCTATTGTTCCGTTTACCTTTGATTTCATCCCTAAAAGCATCATTCCCATCAGTTCATTCTGCTCTTCATTAATCAGCAATTTGTTACCGGGCCTGGCGTTTCTACATGTTACTAAACAGCTACTTCTGTGTTTGAGATAATCAGACCTGTTGTTCAGTTGATGCTAATGGTTGCACAGAAGTGGGAAGACAATGTAGACATTTTTTTTGGTTGGATAAGATAACATATGAATCTTAACATAATGTTCACAGTGGTGTGAGTAAAAACTATGTCCGTGCTTTTAGCTGCTCCAAAGTAAACTTTTGACTGCGCTCCGAGAGGTGCTCCAAAATGGCTGACCAATCACATCATTGCAAGTATTGCTGAAAGCATTGACATTTTGCTCCAAAATATCAAAGTTTTAGTTTATTTTCTGGGTAAAAAATAGAGATGTTGGTGCAGTGAACTTCTAAATATCGCTGATGCTCATCAGTTTATACATTTCATGACACATTTGACTGGAAGCACACTCACAGCACTTGGCTGAAAAAGAAAACTGAACTCTTTCTGTACCACCATCTACTTGAACGGTCGCAAAAGCGGTCAACATTCATGCTCAGCGTTGAATCATACCAGGCGCGTAACTGGCTTCCCCGGACAGCTTCCACAGAAAGTGACGACTTTCTTTGTTACCACTCGATCAATGCATAGTGGCCCGTGCACCGTCCTCAAATCTTTCGTGTAGGTCAATTGGCTCTCTCGAGCGTGTGGGTGCGCTTTTTCCCGCACATCGTCACGGACTTGTTGTGGGGTGTGCAGAAAAGAGTGTGCCACCTCTCGGAATTAAACAATCGTGCCTATTTAGCAAGCGAATTGCTAATAATGCTCTTCGATTGAAGAGAGCAGCACTGTCCGGGGTTCTTTGATAGAACATTTAAGTAAATCGCGTGGGCCGTCTCTGACCCGTGCTGCACTGGATGTCATTTGTTTTTGTGTGGTGTGTTGTGGGTTGCCGGCAGGTCGCGGCATGTCGGCCCAGCGCGGGTGTTGGTCATGGCTAATGGAATCAAAAGCAAAAGATGGTTTTCACCGGTGTTAATTTTTTGCAGAGATATCGGCCCCGCACTACACTAAAGGACAATATTCGAGGCGCCACAGCTGGCTATGGAGTGTGACCACGACAGAGCGAACATGTTAACGGGCATTAGCAACATTAATCGTTTCTTTGGAGAGGAGCACTGAAGTTGAACTCTATTTTTCTCTCCCAACAGACCAGCGACTTTATAGGAGCCAAACTAGCAACGGCAATATTGGATAGGTTCTTAGTTTTTAAGTTGCATATTTGTAACTTTTTGCCATCGGTAAAACTTGTACCGTAAACACAGAACCGACAGTGTGACAGAATTTTCATTGTCTCGTAGAAGCAACTGCCTGAAGTAGGAGGTGGTGCAGTTTGCCCTCGAAGGCATGTGCGGGTCGTGCAACTTTGGCAGAAGGATGGCAGGTTCAGCCTGCTGCCTTCGATGCAACTGTCCCTCGGCTTTATTTTTCGGTGCACGGGTGGGAAAGGACGCTAAACACGCCAGTCAAAGACTCATTCCAGGCACCGTACCATGGCATTTGCTGTTGACGACAGCCAGGTGCCCCATGAAAGGTCTTTCTGATCGCTTGTGTGCAGAACCTGCGGAGTGCAGAGCTGGAGGAGGAAGCCAAGTTTAAGTCCAAGTACCCACAGAATGTCCGGCCCGGAGGATCCCTCTTCCTCCAGAAGAGGCTCAACAAAGGGGTGAGAACTGGCGCCATACTCTACAGCCGCCGACGTGGTGAGAACGGCAGAGAAGTGCTACCATTGTCCTATTTGTAGTACGAGCTTCTTACCTTCAGTAGCGCTTCGACAGCTCGTAAGCCTCGAGCGCGGTTGTGCAACCAAAGCACATGCTGGAGATTGGGGGTCCGGAAAAGACGCTCTGCCTTTCTCACCCTGCTGGCGACTGTAGAGGGGTTTCACATGACATACTTCAGATTCGAAATCTTGCCGGACGCCATGTTGAGAGACTTTCACCGTACGTCTCTTTATGCGCAAGGGCAGTGTGTTCCAGATCGAGGTTTTTTGCGTTACGATTGCGTCTGCTGGAGTAGTCGGCGACGCGAAGGAGCATCGTCTGATACACGATTGTTATGTGTTGCATACTTTATTCAAACTTAAGGCGAGCTGGTGATAAAGAAGTTGACCCGTCCGCGTTTGTGAAGGCCCTAGTAGGGGTTGCACGGGCAACTTTGAAAGAAAGCAAACAGGAATGCGCTCAGTTTTATGCTACCCAAATGCGTCCTTGGTCGTGCTTACCGGGTTCTTTCGTTGACGGAGGCACTCGCAGTGCTTCGGCATTTTGCCTACACTAAAACCGACCCCATAACTATACCCCGTGTCACCAGTTATGTGTGGTACATGCGAAGGCAACGCCAGGCGAAGAGCAACAAGGCGTGCACTAGGAAGGCGAGATGGGAGAAGAGGGCAGTGGAAGGCGATTGGAGAAAGGGAGGGCACTAGGAACGTTAGAGAGGAGAAGTGGTTTCTTTTCTGCTCGCCAGCCTTTCTAGTGGTCGCCCTTTCTCCCCTCACCTGGTGTTGCCTCCGCCTGTACTGTACGCAACTAGTGACACTGAGTATAAGCGTCTGCGTGTGAACAGACGTCAAAATTGGCGGACGCTGTTCATTAATGGGGCAACACTCAGCATACCGGAGGAGAAAAGGCTTTCGTGGAAGAGCCCTATACCACTTCTGAGAATGTGTGGAACGGAGATGGGCCAGGGCTTGCAGTGCAGTGCAGCCCAGCTCGATGCACGTTGGGATCCTCGAATTGCCTGGAAGCTTGGCGAACCCGTATTTCCTAGACTGTTTGCGTCACTAAGGGCTTATTTACGGTTTCAGCACTATTCCAGTTAATGTGAACCAGCTGTCGATGCATAAGTATGAGTCAAACACTTCCTTGCACGTGCATTGCTGCCTACGGGGTGTGCAGGCTCGTGTGCCACACGATTGAATCAATGCCGAGATTAAGAGGTGTTCCTCGTGATAAGAGAACCCCCTTCAGAAGTGATTACCATCAGGGACGTTGCAAACCTGCTGGGGTTAAAGCCTGATCGATTTAGACTGTTTCCAACTTCAGACACCGAGTTCGACAATGAGCCGACACCATCTGGCATAGGGAATATGCAATATTTATTGGGTATATTGTCTCATTGTTAAACTAACAAAAGCAATGGAAGTACTTGCGTCTGATTTTAGATTGTATAAATATTGGCACTAACTTTCTAAAATGTAAAATTAACTACATGTTATGAACTGTTTGTTTTTTCCAAGTTGAAATTTTCGTGTAGGGGTCGGGCAATGCTGTTTGTAAGCCGAATGTCGTTGACCTTCATCGAAAGTTTGAAGGTTCGCCGTGCCAGTCAAACTTTGAGGTTTTGCTGAACTTCGGGTTCAACTGAAGTTTGCCATATCCTTATAATCACTTGCAGAATGTTGAAACCTCGCACTGGAAGCAAGGCAATTGATTTCGGTTCCTATCTGCGATATCACGACCGGTGCTATCGATTGCCAGCGATAATTACGACGGCGTGTGTAATGAAACATGGCAGAAGTTCGGAGTCGTTGCGTCCCTAAATCAACCCCATCAGAGTTCAATTTTCCCTTATCGCCATTAATAAAAGTAGAATTTGTCACATTTAAGATGTGGTAGCGAGTGTTTGGCCAATCGTGGAGGGTCGACTGCAGCGACTCTTTTGGTCACGCACGTTGCAGTGTCACCATTCACTTGTGTGTATGTGTCGGTGTTGCGGCCGTTGCCGAAAATATGTAAAGGAATAATGTTAGTTTGTCAGAAATTAATGCATTGCTGAAAATCGTTACTGCCTCGTGAATGTAACGAAATACTGTTACCATTACTTCCAAAAACTAACAAACATTACTTTTGCATTACCTTAGATTTCGGTATTTGGCAGCGGTGAGCCGCAGTTACAAACTTCGACGCCAATTAAGCTTTTACAGAGTGATTGACAATATTTTTATCCTTTTTCTAACAAATTTCTTGAATGCAGCTCGGTCCTAATGGTTCATTGACTCTTTAGTCGTTTGGTAGAATGTTGCCTGTGGGCTACAAACCAGATAATAACTTTTCACAAGGAACTACATAATGTTTTTTGTTCATTAGTGTTTGTTTTATATACTGTAAACGACTTAATTTTCGCGGGCTCAAATTTTCGCGAATCGGGCCAAAGCTGAAAATTTGAAATTATTTGGGGGTTCTAATTTCCGCAAATCGAGTGTAGCTTCCAGTGATGGAAGTGCTGCGCCAGTTGCGCCAAATTGCGCGAAGGACGCAATCCTGCTACATGTAGCGCCAAATTGTCATTTTACCGAAGAATTGCGCCACGCCTGCGCCAAGATGAGATGTAGCAATAAAAAAATAAAAATTGAAGTCTTATCAGAGCGCGTGGCGGTACCGCGGTATTTTCTGCACTGCAACTGTTACGCATACCGAAACTGCGAGGGCGCATTATCATCATCATCGCTGAAAGGAACAACGTTAGCAACATCGGAGATCAAAGCCGCAGAGGCTAAGCGAAGAATCATCCCACTGAGCAGCCTATTTAAAAAAAAAAAAAAAAAGCCGAGCTTGTGGACGTTTTTAGTGTTGGCCCTCCCTGTTCCCGTGCGCTAGCTACCAGCAAAGTCAAAGCTAGCGCGAGCCCAATGCTCTGTGCATTCCTGACTCGCGCGTGGGCTCGTGCAATGTGGGCACCGTTACGGGCTCCATGCGCGCGCTTGTAGCTTCGGCTGCGCTCGCACCGAAGCTGAAACGAAGTATAGTTGAGTTGCACCAAACTCTGGATGTAGTGCTGGTAAAGCCTCACCATCCTTTTCAGAGCACAAAGCACTGCACGACTCGCGCAACTGCGATGTCAGCTCCGCGGGTGTCGCTTCTCTGCAGCGCGTTGGTGCATGCCAAGGAGCGCACTCAACGGGTTAACTCACCCTGATCCGATCGTGACTTCGTTAGCACATCGAAAATGAATCGGAATTTTTGAAGCTAATATCAGATACCGCAATATTTGAAGCTTCTGCCCGAAAGACAACGCAAATCTGAACTAAAACATTCCACAACAGTGAGGGTCGTTAGATGCTGCTGCAGATACCTTAAAAGAGGTGCAGGCTGATAAAACTAAATATCCTGTACCATCAGGACTCAGTGTGACATATTTAATTGTATTTTTTTATCTAACGAGCAGATAAACTTTATTTTAAAAAAAATTTTGTGTTTACTTTGTTCAATATTATATATCCTCTCTTAAAAAGGCGACAGGCGCTGTGTTCCAATAATAGAGATGGGCTTTATATAGCAATGCAGCATTATTTCATTTTCAAGTAACATGCCAACATATGTCGGACCCTGCTCCAAAAGGGCCACTACCTGCTCCAAAACAACATTTTGCCTGCTACAAGGCCTGCTCCAAAAGGTCGAATGGCACTTCCATCACTGAGCTTCCGTAGTGTTCACACATAGCCCGAATTGTTCGCGGGACATATTTTTCGCAAATTGTAGGCAATTCGCGAAATTCGAAAAATTAGGTCCTCGCGAAAATTTAGTCGTCTACAGTATATCTTTATTTAATGTACTATAGTCTGGCAACAGTCTTGAAGATTGAAACTACTGAAGACAAACCAAACCCGCAAGCTGAGATTTAAATACATTCAACGAGATGGAGCCGATCAGAGCATATCAGTAGAAAAGGGAGTAAAGGAAACTGAGGGGAAACTGTGGGAAGAGAGAATCCGGGGGAAATTAGCTTTAACAATATACAGGGCACAAAAGCAAGAAATAAAGAAGGAACAGCTGTATGATAATTCAGTGGGGAGCTCATTGCTGTTTGAAGCTAGAACGGGGGGTGCTAAGAACGAAAACTTATAGGGCTAAATTCCAGGAAATAGACACTCTATGCGACGTATGCAACGCAAAAGGGCAACTATAGAACATGTAATTTTAAGGTGCACGGAGCTTCGTCCCACGCTCTTGAGGGGGTGGGGGGGACTACGAATTTGGAGGGGGCACTGGGTTTTCTGTATACGGATGGACGAATGGATAAAGAAAGAATTACGGTAACTTAGAGGAGCTTGGAAGATTGGTTGAAAATTTTAGGGGGGGGGGGGGGGGTGAAATACAGATAAAAATAAGCAAGGGTAACACTTTAAAAGAGGGGGGGGTTGTGTTAAAACAAAATTTATACAAATTAAAAAAAGAAAAAGTTGATGAAATGTTAGGCTAGGTGGCGCAAGCTGCCGCCCGTTACAAAGGGTATAGCCATTACCATCCATTCATCGTTCTGCGCCGTCTTGTAAAAAGGTACGCAAATAATTGACGAGAAAAAAGAAGTTCGGTGCGCAAATATGCTGCGACCGAGAACGGTGGAACGGCGAAAAATATAGTTAAATGTTTCTATCGTCACTAATATTTTTAGATAGGTGACTGTTTTACTTTAGGCTATTGCATGCGCATATATTATTGACATTTTGTAGTGATCCTTAGAGGTTATGCAAGGGAGCCACCTTCAAACTTTTGCCTGGTGTTGCCCAGAGGCAACAAATATATAACTTGCAAGTTTACCTGACAATATTTTTTGATTTCCTTAATATCTTAAAAAATAAATGTATTAAGCATTTCTTGTGTCTTGTCAATAATGGGATAAGGAACTGCAAACATGACTCATTTTAGTGAAAAGTAATGAGCGACGGGTAACTTAATTCGACAGACAATCCCATGAAATAGTAACAAAGTCACTTCACTTGTAAGTTTTTTCGGATTCCAACCAGTATGCTAGTGCGTCACTGAAGAAGGTAACATGTTACCAATAACATTGTTACTTGCAATGCGTTAAGGTTGGTTCATACACTTGAGACTGCTTACGACCGCGCGCCCTAAAACCTTTTAAAATCTCAGACAACGAGAAAATGCACTGGCGCCGTCTACCGGGTGATTGGAACACTTGGCATTCCCGTATATTCCCCATTTTTTAGAGCGGCGCTCTTAGGCGCTTGTTTCTGGCTTGAGCGGCGTCACCGTAACCGTGCACATTGCATTATCAGAATAATGCAAGGGGGCGTAACCGTGCGTTGCATTATGGGAAAAATTTGCCTGCAAAATTTAGTGGGGAAATTTTTTGCTAAATTTAGCGGGACATTTAGCGAAAATTTCCTGCTAAATAGAACCCTTCCCTCCTCCTCCTCAAGAGCTGTGCTCTAATTCGGCATTACAGAGAATTGTAAAGTCTAATTTTTTTTTGTACATATTTTTTTCTTTTTTTGGCTTAAAAGAAGGCTTTTGACAACGTTATAAACAACCATTTTTCATAGAGGTTACTCACATTTGATCTCCCAAATGCGGCAAAAACTTAAATAAACAAATGAAAATGTGTTTATTGGTGAAAAAAGAACAAGCTGTTGCACATGGCATAGCCTGACAAGGAGAGAAAATTAAAACGTTTTACTGAGGCACAACGGAGTCGTCTTTTTATCGATGCTTGTAGGTCTTTCGGCGTGTCTTGGGGCACTATTGTTCCAAGTGCTTTCTTTTCGAAAGTGTTTGCAGTCCCATAGAAGGCGCTCAATTTTGGGTGGCGTCTTGTCTCTGCCAAAGGTGCGTTCGGGTGGCTTTGGCATAAATTGTGGATTTTGCCAATTTTGGTTTGTGTTTTCCGTTTCTTGAAAAAGGTTCGGAATTATGGCGCTGCCAGTCCTTACCCTTCTCAGGAGAACAGTTTGATATCTCTGAGTCCAAGGGGGATGGAATCTTGTTTTCTGGGATGTCTGTCTTAAAGTTGCTTCTTTAGTTGCCTCTTTGTCTTTATGATAGCTCTTGGATCATGTTCATGATTCCAATTGTTTGCCTTAGTAGACTATGTGTGATCTTTTTGAGATTGGTTCGCATTGTCGGAAAGGATGGAACGACTATACCTTTTTGCGACTTTGTTAGCAATCTCATTTCCCTTGATTCCCATGTGTCACGGGATCCAACACAGGAGTATTGTTGTATTTTCGTTTTTCTGTATCGTTATTGCCACCTTCAGTATTCTTTCTATTGTCGGGCTTACCACTTGGTATTATTGCAGCCAAAATGGCTTGCACTTCTGCTTCTTTTGGAATAACTGCTGATGTAGGGTATGCCCATGTGCCTTTGTTTAGCAGGTGGAATGCTATCATAGCATTGTTGTTGCCCATTGCAACGTCCGTGCAGTATATCGCTACCTCACGGTCATTACGCATGAGCTCGATTTCCTCACGCTTTTTGGCGCAGTGTCGTCTTCTTTCCTGATGTCCAGGGCCAATGTTCTTGGGAATGGGTGTAGCTGGAACTACCATTGTTCCTAATGTGGTACTTGTTCTGGAAAGTCTTCCATTACACGCGTGTCTTGATCTAACAGATTCAAAATTTGCTGCCCCGGTTTAACCCTTTCGCTTCCGTGGCATCGACGCCCGTTCTTGTGAGCTGTACCGCGCAACTTTCCCCCACGCGGACTGCCGTGTGTGGCGTCGTAAAGAAAGCTCTAACTTCTGCTCTATAACTTGCAGGTGAACACTTTTTACTTTATCTTATTTAGGAATGTCTTCCGGAAGCATTGCACTCGTAGTATCTTGCGGGTGTGGAAGGTCTTGAAGCAGATGGGCATGTGAAATGCCACACACATCACTTTTTAGAATTTTTTTTTTTCAGAAAAAAAAATGAAATTTTAAAAATATTCGAATACATCAAGGTATCTCTATAGTACCTATTAAATGAGGGAAAAGTGTTAAAATGGTGGAGGAAAACAGTAGCGGTAGCAGAGGGTGTCAAACACGCGACCTGCGGCACAGGCAAATATACTAGTTTCTGCAACTGCGGCTTCTACGCTCCGCAACTCGAGAACAAAAAATCTGGGGAACATGCGGTTTGCGCCCTCCTTCATTTGAGAAATGCCCCCAAAACATATATTTTTTTCGTTAAAATAAACAATTCAATTCTTTTAGCCTGCCCGATTTGAGATGAAACCACCCATATGTGCTGCGCACATTTTTTCAGATGTTTCAAATTTTGGGGGTGGGCGCTTAGTGCAAAATGGGCAGATGCATGGCATTTTACGATATATATATATATATATATATACATGTACCTATCAGTGAGTTTATACAAAATGCCAAAACAAAGTGTCTGACTTTTTTTTTTGTTTTCTGTGTTGTATTAAAATTGTTATTCGTGACACGCTTCAGATGAAATGATTGCCAGGTTTTGTTTTCCTGCCAGCTCGGCATGATGGTCAATTTACCTCGTTTCTTCATACTGGCTGCTGCAGGTCAGGAACATCGGTGGTTTTGATAGAACCGAGTTGGATGGACATCTTAGAATTCTAACTTGTTAGTTGATACCCTGAAGACGACACACGCTGGATGGGAGCGGTTATAGGAGTGTGGCAGATTTAGAAATAGACCTTTTATTATAAACATGACCAGTGATTCCAACGAAGTGTTCTTAATTCTAAAGTTACATTGGACGGAAATGTATTGCCAGATGCACCACTTGCTGACGGTAACTCTGTCCAATGGCCACAACATTTCAAGATCCCTCCTCGAGGTCATTCTTAAGAAAAACTAACATTCTTATTTTTCAGTTAATATTGGTTACCGGTAAATAATTTACGGTTACGGTTTTTTATAAATTTAAAGTAATGCTTTCATCCCAGTTCCAGTTACTGAAAAAATTTTGTTCCTAAGTCGCTTTCGGTTTCAGTTACAGTTCGAGTCTCTGCTTTCAGAATCAGTAAATATGTTCCCTTGTTGCCGAGCGGTCTCGCTCGAATTATTTCGTGGTAGTTTGCATCTATGTTCTCAAAGAAGTCTTCGATGGCTTCCGTGGGGTCAATGCCTCGCACTACGCCGCATGGGAACTTCTGCCACGCCATCTGCGGTTTCAATTTTTCTTTTGTGGAGGATGTTCTCCATTACTGTATTTGTATTGGTCTGCGTTTGTCTTGAAAGTCAGCCGATCTTCGAATACTCCACTTCCTATGGCTCTCAATAATTGCTGGTGAATCACTTTCGGGCGAGTCATTGTGATGTCGATCGATCCCCTCGGTTCGATGCATACAATGAATTTCTCAAGGTCGAAGCGTCCAAGGTGTGTCCCCTTAGGAGGCTTGAGGCTCTTTCTTCGTTGGACTTCGGTCTAGGGTACTATGCTTTTTTCCCACATCCTCGTCCGTTTGGCTTACTTGGCTTTCTGCACCTTCGTCCATGTTTTTGTGGTTGTCCCTAGAATAGACTTGTCGGCAGTTCTTGCAGGGTTGAATGATTATTTTTGCCTGAGGGTTGTTGTATTGTTTCCTTTTGGTGGCTTTGTGGTTCTCCGGGCATGGCCCCGGTCTCCATGGGAGAGAACATCGGGTTGCGTTTGGGTGCAAGGTTTGGATGGGTGACTGTCAATCCTAACTGTCCTTCTGGTCTTCGGACCGAAAAGTTGTTGCTAGTGGCCTTCGCCGACATTCTTTTGTCCAACATTGACCAGGTTGTCTTCATCTCGCGAAAATTCAATACAAATTGTCTAGGTGAGGGTTCGACTGCAAAAAAAAACTAGTTGGTCGGCAGAGCGCCGAAAGAATGTGTCTTACCCTGACGAGCACTTCTTCGTTCAACCATTTCTCGTACGGTGCATACATTCAATCTCGCAAATACCGCACAACCTTCGCTCTAACGAAATGCAGTTCCAGGGTCACCTCATAGATGGCACCAGCATGGTCTTTTGTCACAAGAGGTTGCAAGAACTCGGTCGTAAGCAAAAGAAAGTGCGAAAACAGGCTTTTATTATTTCCAATGCCAGTATGCATGTAGCAAGAGTGCTTTCCTCCCTGAGTGTGCGTTCCCCACTGTCTTGTGGAGCGCAGCAGAAGTACTTCGACTCCGGGGACTACAACATGGCCAAGGCCAAGGGCCAGAAGGCGGCACTGCCGCGGGTGCCCCCGGCAATCCCCCAGAACCCCACGGGAGAGACCATCCCCACCGTGGAGTCCCTGCCCCCCCGCAAGACCTCCCTGGTGCAGAGCAAGCTGGCCACGGGGCTCTCCTAAGGACACCGGCGCCGTCTGTCTCTGGCCGGGCACGCCGCTCCTTTAAGAGGGAGCCGGACCTTGACCTCGTCCGCAACGAGACGAGTGGTGGCCAATGCGCTCTAAAACGACACACTACGCTCCGTTTCGCTCCGAGTCCGATTGCAGCCGACGCCATGTTCAGACGGAATCTATCGAGCGGTGCCAAAAGTGCAATGTCACGGCGGTCGTTTTGCCATCACTGGCCAAACCAATCACACACAGTAAATGCCCCGCAACCCTGCGCTTTTTCTATGCGCAATTGGTTCTGTGTGTGCACTTTTTTCTGCAGGCGCACTTTTGGTGCCACCTGATACCTTCTGTCAGAATGTGGCATCGGCTGTAGTCGGACTCGTGAAACGCAGTGTGCCCTTCGGTCCGTTTCGTCCAATGCCACATGGAGCTGCGGCGAACACCGTAATTTAATACTGCGGTCTGTCGCAGGTTAAAAATGGAGGGTCAAGCTTCTTCCACAAAGCTCTCTGCTCTTTCCGCTACAGCAGGGCAAACGCTGGAAAGGAGGAAATCACCAATCGAGGTGGGTGGAGAGCTTTGTGGGCGAGGCCTGTTCCGTTATCCTGAACCTGCAACAGACTATCAATGTTTTTTTTTGGGGCACGTGCGCGTCTCCGCAGCCCCTTTTAGATGATCCAACCTAAGATGCAGTCCGAGCCTAATTAGGATACAAACTAATTAAAAATGATCGATTGACGGGAGAGTGACGGTAAAATGGGGCACAAAATTGGGGCTTTCATCGTAGTTCCTGTTGGGTTAAGGACGGTGACGCAAGTTTCCGAGTGAGACGTAAGAAAGCTGGCCGGCACGTCCCAATTTTGTACGAGGAACGGGGTTTGAAGTGGACCCCATTTCTCATACGAATCGGGGTTGAGGGAAAACCGTGTTCTCTTCCCACCCTGATGCTGTCGGGAGAAAATTTCCCTCTCCGCATTAATGTCAGACTTGAGGACGAGGCCATCCTTTTTTTGTGCGTCTTTCTTGGATTAAAACGGGACGGTGGACGAGACGTTTTCGGTGTCTGTTTTAGAGAGCCTAGGTGCAGCTGCCACTCCTTTCGGAGGGGGTCAAGGTCAGTTGTCCGTGTCGGTCAACCGGAGGTGTAACGACACGCGTGATCGTAGGCGACCTTTTCGCTGCGACTTGCGCGGCGAGGTTCGGTCTGGGTGGCGCAAGCCTGGGGAGGCACATTTTTCTAGGGGGATGGCGTCGTTTCCCGCCTGGGGCTCTGGACGGCAGTATCGGGAGCCGGGGTCGTGACTATCGGCAGTTCGGTTCAAAAGGAGCTCTCCTAAGCCCACTACAGGTAGATGGGTACAAGCTCTCATGCCCGGCAAGTTTCAATGCAATTCTGCAAATCAAGCACGCTAGATTTAGCTGTTTTTTTTTTTTATTTGTAAGGTACTCGTTGCACAAAGAGAGGGATTCGAGACCCATGCTTGAAGTATTAAGGTGGGTTCAACTTATTGAAATTATAAAGTGCCAGGGACGGACACTGACATAAAGTAAACAGAACAGCGCTATACTCACAACTGGGGTTTTAATAGAAAACTAAGGAAGAGAAAGAAGCGATAGCAGTTGTATGGAAGACTAAAATAAAAGAAACAAATTAAAGGAGGAGAATCACAGCAATTGTAGGTATAAATTTATATGTCGAAATAAAAAAAGTTATTATTAAAGACATAAAAAATAATAACTTTTAACATCATTTTAACACGACTTTGAAGGATGAAGTTTGAGATGATCATCCACCTAACTAGAAACATTTGAACACCTCATGCGTTCAAATGTTTCTTTTTTCATTATACCTCCACCCCCCCACATGAAATGTCGGAAGGTTTCTAGCTAGGTGGATGATCATCTCAAACTTCATCCTTCCAAGTCGTGTTGAAATAATGTTAAATGTTATATTTTTTTATTTTAATGTCTTTAATAATAATTTTTTTAAAAATTACATTTGCTACGATTCTCCTACTTAAATTTATTTCTTTGATTTTCTTCCTTTTTGTCTTCTGTATAACTTCTATCGCTTCTCTCTTCTCTTTCTTAGTTTTCTATTAAAACCCCAGTCGTGAGCGTAGCGCTGTCCTGTCTAGCCCTTGCGCTTTATAATTTCAAGACCTGTGCTTATGGGTGCACTTCCGACACTTGAAGGATGTCCTCTCCAGTGGGAATGTACCTCCTGCCGAAAAGATTTCACAAGCCGAGTGTAATTGTGAATATTGCGGCAGGTTCAATTGGCAGTCATGGCTGTTTGTACTGCCAGGCAGTCTATATTCCTTTGGAATGGGTGATGAGGCGTGGGCGGTGGGGTCGCATAAACAGCCTCTTAGCCTAGAACGATTGTTTACTATTGTCGCGATGGCCCTGAAAATGAACTTCTTTTTACGTGTTGGCAGACGTGTTTCTCTTCACGGTTCAACCGGCCTTCGAGAAAGTACTGACGACATATTTGTACATAGGCATGCATGGATTGTAGATTCTTTCGTGCTTACTTTTCTTTGAACCGAGTTAGTCGCGCAAGTCGGCGAGCAGGGCGGCGGACGCTAAACGCCGTTCTGCGCCACATTCGCCGCTTGCATTTCTAGCATGTTGTCGAGCCTTTTGGCCGCGATTGTACACGCCTTGCACTCTTAAAAACGGCCAAAGCCAATCTTTGTGTTTTCGTCGTAGCGTGCTTTCTGAACGGGCTTGGGAATGGCCGTTGCCGGGCGTCTGTTGTGTGCACTTTTATTAAGGTATCCATCGCTTAGTTGCGGAAGTTTGCATTTGGGTAGATCTTTCCAGTTTGGAACGTTTTACGCGAGTGAAGTCTTTCGCTATTAGCTTTTTATTAGCTCAGTTGGCTATATCTTGTCTTCGCCATGCTCAGAAGATACTTGTGTGTGTGTGTGTTAAGAGTATTGCCTGTAAATAAAGGTGTGCAGATTACAAGTTCTGGTGTCTTTGAATCTGGACTTAAGAGAAGCCGCAAGCAAAGTGAAAGTAAGTTGGATAATTTTGAGGCGCGTACGTCAGTTTCAAGTGCAGCTCGGATGTTTGGTAAAAGCTACCGTTGACTGCTTTGTGCAGTGAAGTTTCAGGGGCAGTTTTTTTAGACGCTCATTTTATTCAAACGCCAACAAAATATGGCAGCGCGCCATTGGCCCGACATGCAGGTTTCTCGACCCCATCTTGCCACCGCCAGAGTCCCAGTGAGAACTGGACAAAAACGGGCGTTAATCCTGCAGCGTACGCCAAATTGTAAGCAAAAATTCTCTCTACAAAAGTGCCCGACAATCCAGCGTGTTTACTCTTTCGGTAAAATATACAGCTCCACCGACGTGCCCTCCTAAACTCATCCAGTGAACGTACAAATTTTGTTCCCTTGGCGGCAAAATACGTCCCAGGTTTGGTTCCAGGGGCTGTGAGCGGCCACCGTTGCAGTTTAATGGCCCGGTTGCGACGGGAAACTGAACGACACTTCCACGACGTCTGGTAGAAATCGAGAAACCGCTGTTTAGGACATGGTAAACACGCAAGTTGGAGACACGCTCCAGGCACAGTGTGGGCGCTCGGAGAACTGCAGCTGCTGAGAACCTCAGAAACTCTCGGCGCGGAGCCTCCTGGACATAATCTCGTCACCTCGCAGCCAATGGGAATGCTGCGGAGCAAATTGTGAAGCGAGGAGCGTGACCCCTCCACCCAACTATGCAAACAATTAAATCTTCCCCTAAAAAAAGGGGGGGGGGGGGGGGGGGGCACAAATTGTGGGACTTAAGTTATCATGCGAATCGGGGAAGAACTTCGATATTCCCGGAGAAAATTATTTAATCGCTACTAGTAAACGATTAACGAGGTGTAATCGCGGTAAACTTTTAGGAAGAGTTCCCGTCTCCCCCGAGCCATTAACGAATGGAGTTTTGTCGTAGAATTGTTTTTGATTAACTTGGAAGCGCAGCTGTCGATGTTGACTAACGTGCAATTTTCATAGAGTGTGCATAGCAAATCCTTGGTCATTTTGTGTTGTGTTCAGTTTGTACCACCCTATAACAATCCCGAATGCGATTACTAGTAGCGTTCGAATCCTGACCGACATGCCTGCCTTCTAACTGAGGTGGTCCAAACTAATCTTCGGTCCTCCACTAAGGCGGGCCAGATGCCCTTCGTTGGTTTGGCACAAAAAATACTCAAATTGGGATTAGTAGTATTGTAAATCAATAAATAAAGGTAATGACACTGCGTTTCTTTGCCTGTCACTGACCATATCTGCAAGTTTACTTCCCAATACAGATGTGCGTCCCTCTGGGCAGCAACTCCCGTTTTGTTACTACAGCAACGTGCACCAGAAGCGGTGGGCATCAACAGCCCTCGTACGAGACGCAGCCGTCGACCATCTTGCGGATGTTCTTGTTCTCCATGGCGGCAGCCACCCGCTCCTTGTCGTTGATCTGCTTGCTCACTGGTTGGGGTGAGAAGCGTGGGGGATCGGTGTCAGACCGGTACTCAGTGTTACACATGGAGTCTAACCCAATCGCAGAAACTGGTTCAGGTCCGGTTCAGTTTGGGAATGTCGTGATCAGTGAATATTGTAGATCAGTAAATATTAGAAAGACTGAATGCTTGGGGAAGTGTGGTGGTGCGTGGTGGTGCTACAAGCACGGGGCTGGCAGTGCAAAAACGTGAATGAAGAGAAACCAAGTATGCACACCAAATGTTTCTGCAATTTAATAATTTAGTTATTTTCAACGACGCTTGGCAAGTTTCCAATTGGAACCATGTTTATTTTCACTAGTTAAGAAGTTGAATAACAAATTGTAGGTTACTGTCCATCTTATCGTGACGATTAGCCTCCTATATTTTGTTCCACTGGTTGTAAAACTCGCACAAACGGCATTAATGTAGCTTCCAAAACTTACTTCTAAAAAAATCTAAAAGCAAAAAAAAAGCTTTGTACACTGCAAATGATTGTAACAACTTGGCGACTTACGTTCAGCCGCTGTGGTGTGGCTGCCTTCTTTAATGAAGATGTCCAACTGAGAAAAACAAAATTGCACATGCGACTTCATTTTTTGCGGTTCATTGTGCACTGGGCATACGGAAGTTGGCGGGTGTCATGCGGACGGGCTCTGAATTCTTTTTGTGAACATATGAAGCAGTTTCATCTGCTTTTTGAGTAGGGTTCCGAGTTTTTTGGGTTTGCTTTTCGTAGGTTTTTTCTGTTCCTTTTCACAGATTAATTATTTTTCGATGTCAAAGAAACAAACCGGTGTCTATTTGGGCTTATGGCAACGAAAACATGACAGGGTCATAGGTTTCTTTAACCTCCAGAGAACATGCATGCTATATGCATACTTGGAAAACATCCTGTCTTTTGTCCTGTAGCAGTTGCTAGGTCGTATAGAGTTAGCAAAGCCAAAGACGTGCTAAGCGCACAACTGCTCTTGTTCCATAAGCTGGTGACGTCCGCGTGTGAAAATTAAATATTGCTCCATTAGGTGTGCTTGCCACTGCAGACGTCTCAACTTCCTGGCTGAACACATGCAAAAGATGTTGGCCAAGTGCACACCCTCACCGGCCTTGAGTGGGAAAGATTGCTTGGAGGCTCACCTTAAAGGTATACGGCAGATCCCTCTCTAGTCTTGCTCGAACACAGAGCCCTGGAGGCAAAGACAAGAGACCATCAGACCCAGAAATGAAAGGCATTTGGCCTTTCGCTTTGACAGTGGCTCTGACTGGTTGTTGCTGTGGTTTGGTCATCGTACAGAAGTATTGTAAGCTGCCCAAAATAAATGGAGCCCAGGTACCATGCTACACACGCAGCCTCCTTGCTTTCAAATGGAATGGCAGCACAAATAGAGGCAGGTGTTACACTGGCTTGCTGCACTGCAGTGCCATCGACAAATAAAGCCCCTCGTGGTAAGCATTTTTTTTTTTAAATTTAAGTTGGTGCCATATGCACAGTTGCTAAAACTGGTTCCCAGACATTTCATCGAACGCCATACCATTAAACTGCTGATGGTTGTTTCATCTAATGTTTTCTTTGAATATTTTTCTTTTTCAAGCCACCTCTAAAGTGCATCATGGGAATGTCTAGGGCATCTTCTTACATACAAGTCCTTTAGAGGGTGATGACAGCCCTCACATTTTATTGTTTATTCTTTTCCTGTGTTTTCGAAAGTACAGGGAGTTCCCGAGAAAAGAGAATCGTGTTTTTCGGCCCGAGTAAATCGACTATGCAACGCAGAAAGTTCAAAATCCGTGAGAATGTGGCGCTGGCAGTTGGGATAGAACACAAAAGCTGGGGAACACAACGTTACCTGGATCAAAAGATATTTGAGAAAAACTAAATTTCTCTTTCACTTCACATCCACCAGGCCTAATATCGTCAAAACAAGAAATGACACTGGGTGCTGTAGCATCTATTTCAGTAAAAAAAAAAAAAAAAAAAAAACTTGTCAGCAAGGCAGAAAACCATATCTTATTTTTTGCTGACAGGACTTTCTCAAATAAATAGATGCTACAGGCAGCCAGAGGGTCATTTACTGTCTTGACGATATTAGGCTTAAGTGGATATCAGCTCGTAGAGAAATTTTGTTTTTCTCAATTATATTTTGATCTAGGTAACGTCATGTTCTCAAACTTCCGTGTTCTTCCCAACCGCTAGCGTCACATTCTTACAAAGATTGAGTTTTCTGCAATGAATAGTTTATTTACCTGGGCCGAAACACACTGTTCTCTTTTCTTGGGAACTTCCCGTACATGCGCATTGGTGCCCTCCGGTGCAAGCACATAGTCTTGACTTCTTCACTCATACCATTTTAGCACCCTAAGTTTTATGTTTGCTGTGTCATGCATTTAAGCAACTCAGCACAACGAGGAATGCCTCCAACCTAAGAGACCATAATGGACCATATGCAAAGTTGTTTGAATGTCTGGCGACACTCTGTGCACTGCCATCTTTGCTGAGTCGAGATTCCTCTGCCGTTTGTCAATTTTGTGGCATTCTTGGTGACAATCGAGGCTTACTGCCCACCGTCATTGATCTTCACCCAGACCTTCGAGGTAAACGTTAGTATAGTTTTACGCTCTTCTTGCGCACGTACGTGCTCGTCACTTCGCCGGTCGCTGGTTTCTCGCCACATTTAACATGGTGGACATACACTTCAGCTCGTAATTTGGCTTTTTTGAGTACCGGCAAAGGAACGGGCACGGGTGCCTGGCTCTTGAAAGCGCTTTCTCTGCACGAATGCTTGTGCAAGCGAGGGATTCTTCAGAACTACACTTTCATGGCCTGGCCTTTGCCAGCGCCGGAGCCAGCTGGTGAGACGGAGAATCTTCTTCGGGGCCCCACTAGATGGCGCTGGTCATTTCGCATATTTTGGTGCTAATTTTGAATCTGGAGGATCGTTTCTTTTCGGGGTCTCCCTTTAGACGTTGCGACGTGCTTGACGCCGTGGTTTTTTTCACGCGAAACAATCGCACACCGTTGCCAAGATGTCCAAGGGGAGGAGCCGCAAGGTTGCGAAGCCAGAGGACCCCCTCATCGGCTGCGACAAATGCGGGAGATGAGCATACGTTTCCGAGAGCGATTTCAAGAACACTCAAGAGGCTGAAAATGCTGACTTCGTCTGCAGAATATGCAAGATGGTTGACGAGGTGGACACGACACACAGAAACAAGAATGAGGAACTGGAAACGACCATGACGGACATGATTAAAAGGTGGGAAGACACCAACAAAGCAGGTGCCGTGGATCAGACCGACATGCTACATGCACTCCTTGACCGGGTGGATAAATTGGAGCATTGTGTCGAAGAGCTTGTGAAGCGAATGTCGTCCAGTCGAACTGACAAGGTAACTCTGGACACAACAATGGAGGATTCTCCAGAGTACAGTGCGCGACGTGAGCAAGAAAATGAAAAAACGCCTAACCAGATTGACTATCAGCGACATGGGCCTGTGATGTTCGAAAGTGGTACCCCACTTCCTGAGACCTACGACAGCGGAGCAGGACCTCACCCTCAACATGAAAATGGCATGATGCAGGTACAAACAGAGCAGCAAGTGGCAACCACATCAGTCAAGGACTTGCCCAACCAGGTGGGAGACAATAGCAACACTACCACCATGAATGGGACTCACATAAACCAAAGGCACATCGATGAACATATCCGACCTCCTCAAGGAGTGACACGAGAAGTGATTGTTGCAGGTGATAATAATGTTGCACGGTTTGCACGCACTCGTAGATGAGTAGGGGACCATCGCCGAATGGAAATCCTATATAACAGAGGTGGAACAATCGCAGATGTGCACCACTTAATATACAAATATGAAGAGAAAGCAAGGAAAGTACCCCGAATGTATATATTGCATGTGGGTGTAAATTACATCTTGCACGGCGAACAGCCTGCGGCGATTGTAGAGCAACTGAGGCTGAAATGGACAGATCACAAAGACGCATTGGCCATATGCTCAATACCAGAGATTGAGGGCAGAGGCAAAGGAATTCAAGCAGCAACCATGCTGCTGAATGCCCAACTAAAGAAGCTCTGTAAGGACCTCAAGGCGCGATTTATAGACCTGAGCCGAGATCTCAAAGCTGAGGATGCAATGGAGAGAGGCAGGCTACACTAGAAGGAAGATGGGGTGCGAAATGTGGTCAACAGGCTAGGAGCCGTGGCCAGCCTTTTTTTAGGCATACAATGGCGAAGAGATTCACCAACCTCGAAGATCGGTCAGCAGAGGAGTCCACTGGTAGAGCACAGAAACGAACCAGTGCAGGGACGGAATACAACAACAATGTATGGCAAACCTCAAGATTATCGCCCAGCCGAAGAGCACCGCATGATGCATCAAGCAATGGGGTGCCTGTATGCACAACACACGGACGACCCCGCGAACAGATGGCATGCCGGCAAGACCGAAGTGCTGGCTGGAAAGCCTTGCGATCACTATCCGGTCGCAGAGCAACGCTCGGACCAGAGAAGTTTTCCGCCATTGGGCCCAGTTTGCGAATCGGAGAGAGGGACACCGCGACCCCAAGACATAGTACATTGCTTAGACTTGAACAGGCAACTTCCACCATCGCAAAACAGTCATGTAGCACTTGGGCCGGCTCCACAAATGGACCCTATACAGCCTCAGAGGCAAACACTGTCAAACGGGGGACTCCCACGGTACTACCCCCAATCCTGAACACCCCCAACGTCAACACGTCTCTCCCAAATGTATACACCGGCGCTGCCTCAACCCCAAGGCCTGCGTGCAATCGTGGCCGAGATGGTGAGCCAACAACTCGGTTACCACTACCAGCGGCACAGGATATAGGGCCGCTTTCGGGGAGGGGGGTCGGAGATAAGAGGGTGAGAAACAAAAGTAGGTGTGGCAAAAAAAGACGGAGACGACGTAGACGCAGCAGACGACTGACAAATGTGGTAGGATTTCTCAACCTCCAAGGAGCGAGACGTGAACACAAATGGGAAGAGCTATATAGGGAGTTGGAGGCGGAAGGAATGACGCTTTTTGGAGTGGCAGAGACGTACCTATATGATATTGAAGAAGCTCCAACCGATGCAAATTGGTGTTGGGCTGGACGCAATCGTGTGGAGGGACAGCGTCGAGGTGGGGGAGTTGGCGTGGTGTGGCGCAGTACATCAGTATGGTGCAAGGAGCCACGAGACTGTTGGGACCATATTTGGGTAACGGGAGAGATCATCGGGATTCCTGTTGCCGTCTGTATAGTATACGTGTCGGTGGGAGCTGCGCGCAGAGAGGAGAATCAAAGTTTAATGAGCTGTGTGGAAACCGAAGTCAAGGACTTGGCTGCTACTAAAGACATTCTCATCATGGGGGATTTTAATGGACACCTGCATGAACTGGACGGATGGGAAGACGAAAATGGGCGAGTGATGCTGCGGATGGCCGAAGTTAACGCCTTGGAGATACTAAATCTCAGGGCCTCATGTGAGGGTCAATATACATGAAATGCCCGGGAGAGCAAAACGTGCATTGATTACGCCTTAGTCTCACAGAATTTGGCCCGCTATCTGGTTCACACACACATTTATGAAGCTGGTGAACACAGTATTGGGAGTGATCACAACCGGATACGGTTAGAATTCTCCAAAGCTACACCAAAAATAATAAGAGAAAAGCACTCTCCGACAGGTCGTTCCCGGCTATCTCCATCGGCAAGGGAGAAGCTGGTGGAGGAGTTTGAAAACAGCACCAAGAGAAAGAGCGCGGCTGGATACGCAGAATATCTGACAGAATTAAAGCGCCTCATCCGACAACATTCTACAAAGGAACGAGGTGGGCGACGACTAAGAAAGCGATGGTGGGACGCGGAAGTTCAAGCCGCCATCAGATTAAGACAGGAGCTAAACAGGGAGCATCGCATGGTTCTCCATGGCGGCCCGGCAGACGCTGTTGCAATAAGGTGGCAAAAGTACTGGTTGCAGAAGCAGGCCGTAAAACAGCTTGTGCAGGACAAAATGGCCCAGGCTGATGTAGCTACAATGAGAGACATCAGTTCAAGTGGTCGAGACGCACCCAGAAAGTTCTGGCGATATATGGGAACTCTCAATGGAAGAGACCAGTGCCCAGCAATCCTGGACGAAGACACAGGGCTGCCCACAGAGAGACTTGGGCAATG